TTTCTTTTCACATCCAGAGAAATATTCTGCCTTTTCAATATTTCCTAGGATATTTCATTTTTCTGGGAGAGGGCTGGATGATAACTTCCCACAGCCCCTTGAAAACAGCATATTGCTTGGCCCACCTTAAGAACTGAGAGCTGCTGAGGCAGAAACACTCTTATTGTCATATCGTAACATAGATAGAGTGGGCTGCTGAGCAAAATAGGACTTGGCTTTTAGCAATACTAGAGTATTCAATGCAGAATCCTATGTAGGGACCAGCAGCTGTATACACTTACGTGCATACCACAGCTGCATAGAGGCTGTGTTTGCATGATGCACTAACCCATGATTTAACTATAATTGATCTACAAAACAAACTAGGGCAGGGGGGTCAAACTTGATTTCACTGAGGGCTGCACCAGGGTTGTATTTGACCTCAGGGGGCCAGAGTGGGTTTGGCTGGGATGAGTGTGGCCAATCAGGGTTGCCTGTGGCAGCCTGAGTGCTCTGCTCCATTTTCACTGGCAGAGGGTTGCAGGAGGCTGTGGCAGCCGAAAACGGAGCTTGGGAGCCCATTTTCTCTGGCAGAAACACCACACCCTGGAAACAGTCTTTGGCTGTTTCCAGGGTGAGCCTACAGGCCAGATCTAAATACCCCGCAGGCCGGATCTGCCCCCCAGGCCTTGAGTTTGACACTCCTCAAGTAGGGTTTTACCCAAATTACAACTGGTTTCCTCAGCTCAACCTTTCTGTATTCAAAACACACTGACCAGAAACTAACAAGAAGTTCTCACGAATTGCTAGATTAAAGCTTGATTCATATTCACTATATAGCCATGATTTAAATTCTTGGAGAAACACAGCTGTACCATGTACCACACTTGCTGATTTCCAACAGCTACAATCCCTTCATACTTCCTTGTAGAGCTAAACTTCTGTAGGGAACATTGAACTGTGGCAGCTTCCCTCTGTCATCATGTTGCAACCAGAGTCGGCCTGATCCGGACCACAATACGTATGTGCAAAAAAATGCTTGAAAATTGAAAACAAAACCAGGAGCCGCACGTTCCCTCTGCAGTGCTAACACTGGAGGGACCCATCAATACTTGAGCTCCATCTGCTGTGTGGCAAGAATGCCTGCACCATCTCAAAAGCTCTCCAATGTTAGAGGCATCCTTCCCTCTTTTGTGAATATAATATTCATGTTTTTCTTTGTATTTGTACTCAAGAGGCCAAACATTCAAGGTGACAGAACCAATACAGCCAAAGTACTTTCTGACCCTGCAAAAAAAAAACCCAAGGGCTTTTTCAATGATGGATGCAAAGGAAACATGATTCCTAATACCAGGGGTCAGCAACCTTACACACTCAAAGATCCACAAAGGTCCTAACCAGAAGCGGCCCCTCCCCCAGGTTCAATTCTGGAGCTGACCAAAAATCCAGTTCCCTCACCATAGACTCTCCTCCTAGCATGGCGTCCTTTTTCCTCTACCTGTCCTGACCGAAAGTCCTATTAATCGTGGAGCCCATCGGCGACAGAGAACCGCAGCAGAGGGATGAAAAAGCCACATGCGGCTCCAGAACCGCAGGTTGCTGACCCCTGCCTTAGACCCCTTTCTATTCCTCAGTTACCAACAGATCCTACAGCAGTGTTTCTTAATCCTGGCAACTAAATGTCTGGATTTCAACTCCAGAATTAGAATAGAGACATCTCAAAGTTGCCAGGATTGGAAAATATTGTCTTACAGGATATTTCTACCTCTGGACACTGGATCATCGCTCAAAGCAGCCATACTTTGAACAAAACACTATGCCAAGGATCATTAAACTTCACCAACATGAGCTTTCACTCCAGGTTTAATTGGCAGCGCCTGCCAGATTCATCTGTGAGGAAGGTCACACAGGTGGCCCATAGCATGGCAAAGGTTTTTAGCATTGTGATAGCTGTGGACTGTACACCATTCATGTATACCATGACTGAGGAGCACAGCTCATGAATTAGCAGTACCCACCACCCTATTTTTTCAGGACTCATTTAAGGAACTGCTCGGTAATCCTGGCCTCTGCCTGTCAGAGAGAAGAGCTAGCAGTTCAAAACTCAAAGCCAAGATTGGCGATTCTCTGAGCCTGAAGAATTAAACTTTCCTTACCCAATGTAGGGATTTAATCAACTTCTCCTTTAACCACAGAAAAATTCTGAGGAAAGCTTAGAGCTAAAGAGAGAGCCAGATCTCTTCGTCTCAATAAGAAAAATAGTTTTGCTATATACCATTCATAATAAGCACCTGCCTTCCATTTCTTTTTATTTCCCCATTGTTCTGACCCAGGCTTCCCAAAAGCATGAAGCCGATTCCTCGTCTTGATAAAAACCCTTTTATTTAGTTTAAAGTGAATTCCTCTCCAGCAATGTCGTGGCCAACAGTCTTTCAAGAGATTTCACAACTACAGACCTTTATGAGGCTTGAATTGTCAAGCCAATATCTTCCAAACACCACTCTGTAGCAGACATTACTTGGCAAGAAGTCAGGAACAGATCTTCAGTCTAATGAATTGAAGCAATTGTCTCCTGCAAACTCCCCCTCCCTTTCGCTCCTCTTTATTCCCTATGGGAGGGGCCATTCACCTGTGTCTTTACTCTTGTTCCTTAGCTGTTCCCTTCTTCTGGCAGCTCTGTGCATGCACACACTGGGAACAGGCGCCAGCTGTTCTTCTGCCCAACTCCAAAGGCAGCTGATAACTGTCAGACGGCCCTGGCCCCATCGCACTCATCTGAGCCTTCCCCAGACTGCCAGATCCGCTGGCTGCTGGCAGGCCACAATACCCATGTAAAAGAGTTGCTTTAACTGCTTGGGTAATTTTTTGTGCCACTTTTCTCAATTATTGGCAAATTGGTCATTTGTCAAAGGGCAGTAGATGAATCATACGATTCCACATATCTTGGTCTTTAATTAGTAACACTACTGTCAGGCCATCTCCTACAACTACAGTGAAATTCCAGTGAAATTATTGGTGATCCAACTATTAAAAATCATTCAGAAAGGCAAATTCTCAAAACATTTCTGCAGTTTTGAAAACTAATTCCTCTGAGAAATTAATCCATGTTGCCAATCCAGTTTCAGCACTCAGTTCTTTCTACAACAATTATCCAATTATTGCTCCAAGTATTTGCAGCTTCAATTCTGGAATGAATGCAACATTTCAGCGTATAAGATTGTTTGGTGATCCAGAAATAAATAACACTTGTTTTGCACAATCTCTTTATTTTCATGATTCCTAAAGTGCTGATCACTGGCTCTGATTCTTGGAATTGGCAAAAATCAACCTCCCAGAATGGCACACCGAATGTGGCCAGCAGCCCTTCCACAGGCTGATGGAGGACAAAATCAATAGATGCCCCAAAATTGTTTCATTAAACAGGCTCCGAGACAGAAAAACAAATATCAGTGTTACAGTAGGATCTGGATGCTGTCACAGTAAGGGCAAGGCAATCTGGGAAGATTCCACAGCCTTTGATGCCTCTTCCAGTAGTAGCAAAAAGGCTCAGGATAAAAGCTCAACAAACAAATATATTGTAATTACTCTTAAAAATTGGTGGCCTTTTCACTTGACACTGAAGCCCATATCCCACAGGGACAAGAAGGAGCCCATCTGCTAGGCTACTTTTTTTTATTGTTCCAAGGACCTCACAAGGCCTCACCAGTTTTATCCCCCATCTCTGAATTTAATTAGGCAGCTGCACTGCCCATTCACAGGATGCGGGAAGATCTACATGCATTCAGGAAACCAGTTCCTTCTTAGACAGGAATTTCCAAGGCCGCCTCTCATCAGTATAAGGCCCTTTGGTTTCAGAAGGCTTTGGTCGAACAAGCTTAAGGAGGCAATTCAAGGAGAAGAGTGACATTAGACTGGCTACGGACTGGGGTATGTGGGAGGACATCCCTTGCCCAATGCCACAATCCCAGGAAATAAACACAGAGGACCACTTGTTCCCTGCACTGCAGCTCTAAGAGTAAAAGAAGACTGAGGTAAGAGAAAGGGAGCAGGCAGGACAGAGTGAGAAAAGCATTGTTCTCTCCACATTATTGAATAATAATTGGAGAGCCTGCTATGTCAAGGTCCCTGCCTGCCTGATATTGCTATCGACTGCCCTTGGCAGCCACCTGAACCCCCTTTCCAGCCAATTGTAACATTTAGAAGTGAGGCAAATTTGTGATGAAGGATCTCCCTCCCACATAAGGGCCAACACCCTTCCGCTTGGGGAGAGAGGAATCCTCACAGAGATGGGAAGGGTACTGCTACACTTGAGACTAGGAGAGCTATGAAAAGCGGGGGGTGGGGTGGAGTTCTGAATGAGGCACATGCCTGTTGACAGCACAAAAGGAAAGCATGTTAGCAAAGGGGAAGGGGGGAATCAGACATGGCTGATGGAATGCTGGCTATTATGGCAAGGAGACAGAGAGGTTGGAGGTTGATGAGGAATGCTGTGGTATCAGCAAGCCTTCAACACTGAAAAGGTCCTGGGTGCTGATGGGCATTTGGGACTGGTCACTGAAAATCCTAGTGGGCTACTCCACTAGCAGGCACCAAACCATATTGAAGAGCTGGCCAAGAGCAGATGCCGAACAAGGACTTTCTGTGAGATGTCAGACGGTGCCCTGGCACTGAAGAGGATACCTGCCCCTCAAGGAGGGAAAATATATAACACCCAGCCATTCTGGGACTCCGTAGTCCCTGTTCCCCATCTTTTTTTTTTTTTTAACTCTAACAGGTCTTTTCTCCCTTAGGTCAATACTTTAATCCCAAAGTATTTGCGTAGTTGCTCCAGGAAGACAAAGGTGAGCACAGTATGAGGGACCAAGCGAATGCCAGCAGGAACAAGGCCCTAGAATATGAAAAGAGAGGGGAAAATCAGCTTTTGTCCACTGTGGAGTTTCAGCTGCATACAGTAGGCCTTCTCCAATACACATTGGCGCCAGAGTGAGGTGGGAATGGAGATTTTGCAGTATCCTTACCCTGCCACGCCCACCAAGCCACGGCCAAAGAACCGGTAGTAAAAAAAATTGAATTTCACCACTGGTATGGAGGCCAGCACTTGCTAGGAATACATGAGAATATCAGAAATTCTAAGCAAATTTTTCTGCTCCTGTTTGATCAATATACTCCCGGTGGCTCCCATCTTCTCTTGTATTACCTTATAAAAAGCCAATGGCCCAAGCCTGGCCGTCTCCATTGCGCAGTGCATGACACCCTGAAACAAAATGGAAAGAACTCAGTGCAGGCTGATTTGACCCCATCTTCAGAACCCACCCACAAGGTTTTATCACTTAGCTTGTTAATGAAATTCAAGAACAGAACAATGCTGAAATCACAGGGCCGTGACGCCAAGTGGCAAAGGCCGCAATGCCTAGCCACTGGTGTTTAATGCGAGCACCTGCTCTCTAACGAATCAGAAAGCTGGCAGTCACCACAAACTGATCACTCACCCGATATTCGCCTTGGGAATTCATAAGTCGTGTTTTTAGCACATCCAAGGGCTGACACAGGAATGTAGCACATCCTCCCTGCAGTTCGGAAAAAGAAAGATGATTGACTTTAAAATGATAAAGACAAGAAATTATGGGGGGTTTGAGATATATTCCCAGAATTGATTAAACATTGTTGATATTTGGCATTATTAGTAACTCCACATATTTGGAACATTAGGATGGAATAATGAGTAATTTGTAAAATATTAAATGATATTACTGTATTTTTCGGAATATAAGACTCACTTTTTTCCCTCAAAAAAGAGGCTGAAAATCTGGGTTTGTCTTATACACTGAATGCAGCATTTTTTGCCTCCTGAAACCCTGCCCCTTTTACCAAAATGGCATGCAGGGCATGGATGCCCTTTAGGAAGCTTATAGAGTGCTCCTGGGAGCTGGAAGGTGGGGGGGGGGGGTAAAATTGAGCAAAAAACGGGCCTTCAGAGAAGACTTCTTTTTCATTTTCAGCCTGTCTAACTGATTGTCTTTTAGTTCCAAGTAACTGGATAGCTGTAATAGCCTGTCTAAAGACAGTCATATTTTTCTAAAATATGATTGTCTTTAGGCAGGCTATTAAAATATTAAAATATGAACTAAAAGACAATCAGTTAGACAGGCTGAAAATGGAAAACAAGCATTCTCTGACTTCACCCTCTTCAGATGTGTTCAACAACTACAACTCACATCATCCCAAGCAAGTTAGAACTTCTGGAGATATTGCATGATCTTTTATAGACCAATCAGAAACTTTGTTGCACTCTAGAGCAGGGTTTTTCAAACTTGGCAACTTGACAGTGTGTGGACTTCAACTCCCAGATTTCCCCAGCCAACATACTGGCTAGGGAATTCTGGGAGTTGAAGTCTACATGTTTTTCAAATTGCTAAGTTTGAATGAACACTGAGACTCCTGCTAATCTGACCTCATTGCCTGGGACAGTTGCTCTTTTTGTCTTTGAAGTCATATGTAAATCCCATTTCTTATGTAAAGTATATGGCACTGTCTGTAGAGGTTACCCTTTAGGAGTGGGTTCCTATCTGCGTTGGTAGTGGTTCATTTCGCGCATGCGTAAGATGCGCGCTGAGCATGCGTGCACAGTTCACTACAAATAGTTATGCACAAAGACCACGAAAAACTAATAAACATGCTGGCAATGGCAGTGGAGACTGGGGAACCGGTTCGGGGTGTGGCCAGCCTAGGTCGCTGCCGTTTCTGCAACCCAGGCCAAATTACCACTAATAATTCGCTTGAACCGGTGCGAACCGGTAGAAACCCACCTCTGTTACTCTTCCCTTTTAATTATCTTTCCTTTGCCTTTATCAATTTGCAAATAAACCATGAATTCTGACACAGATGAGCCCCTTTGGGTAGTGAAGGACCATAGTTAAAACACTGTTAATTTTCACCTGTTTTCTAGCTAAAATAGCAAAAAATGTCCCTTGTTTTTAGAAATCCTGGTTGGGGAACCCCTCCAAAATCTGGAGAAAAAAATGGGACTTTGATTGCCAATTTCTTGTCTATGACTTGGACAGCATAATGTAAACCCAGACACTAGTTCATTAAATAAAGCTTGGTTAAATAAAACATAGCTTTGCAAAAACTGTGGATACCGCAGGTTTACTTTAGCAGCTGCTTAAAATAAGGAGGACTTGGGTCTGTGTAAATCAGAATAGCTTTTGATGCATAGTAATGTCAAAGTCTCCTCTCAAGTGTGACATTTAGACCTTGCATACTTTTAAAGCATCAGATAAGGGAGGAAAATAGCAATGCCAAATGCTTCTGTGTTTTATTTGGTAAGCCACCACCTGTATGCAGATATTCATCTCCTGCTTTAACCTTACAATGTGATTTTTCTTAATCAGCAGACATTTCCCTCTTAAAATTGAAAAGTAGGAACAAGGTGCACAGAGCATGGAAAAAAACAACAACCTGGATCTATGAAGCAATCCCACCTACTCCAAGCCTTGGCAGCTCTGGGACAGAGGCTGTACTCCACCTTTCCGGGGAACCTTTGAACGTTAGTGAAAGTAGCAAAAACGCTTACAAAGGCACACAAACACACACCCTAACTGACTTTGCACCAACACAGATATATACACAGATATATACATACGGCTATAAAACTGGCCAGGAAATGTGTAAAAATATTGTCAGTGAGTAAACCGGTCCCAAGAACCAACTGCTTTGCCTGGTCATAGCAAGCGAGCTGCAAAGAAACAGAAAACAATAAGACTGTTTGTGAGCAGATTTGGAAACTAAGCAGAACGGGCTCAAACTTCTGCTAAACCCCAAGGGATCAGGTAGAACAAGGACATCAAGCACCTCCATTATGAGTGTATGGGTTTTGAGTTTGGAGCCCCTAATGCAGGGGTGTCAAACTCGTGGTGGTGTCACGTGACGTATCGGGACTTTGCTAAACAAGGTGTGGGCGTGGCCAGCACATGACGCATCTGGCCCGCGGGCCGGGCGTTTGACAGTCCTGTCTTAATGGCTCTGTGAAGAGCCTTTCCTTTCCCACTGGGTCTACCATAAAAACAAAGGTGCCAGAGGTCTGCAGTTGTTCAATATCAGAACATCTCACCAAGGTGTGCCTGGGCTGTTGACATTACATTCCCTGACCCTGTTGTGGTTTCAAAATTTCCCCAGGATGATGCCATCATACAGAGATAATTCCCCAAAGAAAAGGAGTACGACATGTCCTCCTTAACGGATAACCTTCCTCCTTCTGTAACCTTCTCCAGCCTTTTTTTTTTTGCAGTACCAGAAACACAGACAGAATACAAGGGATTACGGCCAGTCGGTTAAATTTTGTCTTCTTGAATGAAAAGCAGAGAAGAAAGAAGCTTAAAATACTTTAAATATCCTAAGAAGGAAAGCTGAAGTCATCTGGCTATTCATTCTGGTCACCATAGAATACACCATTCTTTCAGAGTTTAATAAGTTCTATACCCGTAGTTGAACCTATGGCACATGTGCCACAGGTGGCACGCGGAGCCATTTCTTAGGGCATGCGAGGGGTTGCCTGTCAGCTCCAGCACACATGTGTGCGTTGGCAGCTGATTTTGGCTTTCATTTTTGTTTGTTTTTCGCCCTCCAGAGGCTTCCCCAAAGCGCAAACCGGAGGTTTGGGAACGGACTTCTGGTTTGCGCATTGGGCTGCTTTTCTCCCTCCGGAGGCTTCAAGGAAGCCCTCCGATTTTCTCCAGAGGGAGAAAAACGGCCCTACAGGCAACCTGGAAGTCCATTCCCGAACTTCCGGTTTGCGCATTGGGCTGTTTTTCACCCTCCGGAGGCTTCAGGAGGCTTCCCTGAAGTGGCCTCACAATTTCCCCAGGATGATGCCATCATACAGAGACAATTCCCCACAGAAAAGGAATATGACATATCCTCCTCAAAGGATAATCTTCCTCTTTTGGCACGCAATGGCAAAAAAAGTTAGCCATCAATGTTCTGTACAATATAAGAATCTAAGACAGAGCTTTGCTTGATCAAAAGTGGCTACAGAATTTCCGTAACGGCTGACAAGCTGCCAATTTAAAATCCACAAGGACACAAATATTGAGTATTTGTTTTATTAATCAATTATATATATATAATATAATCAATTATATATATATATATATATCCTCTCATCTCACAAACAAGCGACTCTGGGCAGCGTACAACAAAGCTAAAAACAGTTAATAAACAGCAATGACACTCAGTCTTATATGCTGCTTATATTTATACTTATATACTGCTTCACAATGCTTTTACAGCCCTCTCTAAGCAGTTTACAGAGTCAGCCTATTGCCCCTAACAATCTGGGTCCTCATTTTACCCACCTCAGAAGGATGGAAGGTGTGAATTAGCCCTGCAGTACTGCATTCTAACCACAGCACCACTATGGCTCATACATTAAACACATTAAAAAGTATAAAAGCTAATACGAAGAATAGTAGCTGAAGACTTGTTAAGAAAAGTGGAACCACATCAACAGTTCACCTATTCCCCAACCCCAGAAAAGGGCTGCGCAAATAAGCAAAGCCCCGTCTGCGGGGTGAAGGCAGCATGTGAAACCATGTCCCCTCCGGTCTATGGAAAAACCTATCGGCATAGAACCATCCCTGGGGCCCAAAGGTTGGGGGCCACTGCCCTAGGCGACGGAATTATAACATGCCCTCTCTGCTGGATCTGATTGGATGGGCAGATGAATGAGGGAAGAGGTGATTCTCCAATAACCTTGGTCCCATGCCATGAAGGGCTTTATGACCTGCTTGTCAGAAGGTTGCAAAAGGTAATCACATGAACCCTGGAACACTACCCCGTCATAAATGTGAGGCAGTTGTTGAGCATCCAAATTTTGATCACGTGACCATAGGGATACTGCAACGGTCGTAATTGTGAAAAACAAACAGAGGTCACTTTTTTCAGTGCCATTCTAAATTTGAATGGCCATTAAATAAATGTTTGTATGTCAATGATTGCCTGTCCTTGGGTTCTGATCCACCATCCAGCATTGTATGCAACTGATTTTTTTGTACAGGTAGTCCTTGACTTATGACCACAATTGAGCCCAAATTTTCTGTTGTTAAGCGAGACACTGAGTTTTGGCCCATTTTATGACCTTTCTTGCCTTGGTTGTTAAGTAAATCACTGCAGCTATTACAATAGTAATCCGGTTGTTAAGTGAATCTGGGTTCCTCATTGACGTTGCTGGTCAGAAGGTTGCAAAAGGTGATCACATGACCTTGGGACCACTGCAACCGTCATAAACATGAATCAGTTGCCAAAAATCCGAATTTTGATCACATGATCATGGGGATGGATGCTGCAAAGGTCGTAACTGTGAAAAATGGCCATGAGTCACTTTTTTTGGTGCTGTTGTAATTTTGAATGGTCACTAAATGAACTGTTGTAAGTTGAGGACTACCTGTCCATTCTTGGCCTAGTTTCTTGATGGCGAACCTATGGCACACGTGCAGTGTGGCTGCCCCCCCCCCCCCGCGTGGCCCACTTTTGCTCCCAGGAGGCTGCAGGGAGGCCTGCTAGTCCCAAAATGAGGCACAGGGTGTGCACACATGTGCGGGGAGACTGCGGGGTGGGGGTGTCACGCGCACATTGCATTATGGGTGTGGGCTTTTGGCATGTGATGACAAAAACGTTAGCCGTCACTGGCCTAGATGGACACATTTATATTCAGAAGAGGATCACAGGCAACATTGACTCTGGATTCCTACCTGCCCAATGGTAACCAAGGCTCCTCTGCTGGATGCCATTGTTCCTCCTGAGAACAACTTCTTCACACCCTCTGCAAAGACAAAAGCCTGGAATTTACAGAATAGGGATTCAATTTTAATGATGTTTTCCGCTTATCCTGGGCAGATGAAACTCCCCCTCCCCACAAGGCATCCTTCCAGAATAGCTATCTTCTATTATTCCCAAGGAAAAAGAACGGCAGAGTCTATTTATGAAAACACTTGGGGAGCAGAATGAACCAATCAGCAACACACATCCCAGACTGGATATAATGGCTATAAAAAGGTTAAACAGCTGTGTTTGAAAAGAAAGATGCCTCAATGTACGTAGTCACAATGAAAGAGGCAAACAAATACATCCACTGATGAAGATCCAGAGAAGATCCTATGAAATGCCTGTGGTGAAATCTAACCATAGCAAAGACGCTCTTGGCTAATACAAGAGCATTTTATATGCTCTGCCACGAATTCACTTTCAAAAATAACCCTGACCAATTTCACGTTCATTGCACTCCAACTGAGAGCTAATATCCTTGAGCAAAATAAGATCTCTCTCACTTCTGGCTTCAAAGTGAGATTTGGATGGGACACCAGCTGTCATCTAGGACTACGCAGGCGATAAATCAGACATCCGGAAGGTGTTTGGAGAAAGATCGCTCAGTTCTCAAGAACCACAATCTGGATCTTAAGAAGGGCTTTGATTTTTACCTTCTATACTTGGCAACTGGTTTTCCCAGTTGCAATGTATGGCTGTGAAAGTTGGACCATACGAAAGGCCGAGCGCCAAAGAATTGAGGCTTTTGAACTATGGTGCTGGAGAAAACTCCTGCGAGTCCCTTGGATTGCAAGGTGATCAAACAGGTCAGTCCTAGAGATCAACCCTGACTGCTCTTCAGAAGGCCAGATCCTGAAGATG